GTTTACAAATATATTGTGGGGGTTAGAAATAGGCCATGCATGTGACGTTAAGCTATAGTATGTGGGATTACTGAACTATTTTGGGAAGTTCTTGAAGAAATTGGATAAGGGAAGAAGGAATTTCCATTGTAGAACCTTGTAGTCTATTTCACATGATTAGGTGTTTGATGAAATTCCTAATAGAGTTACACCATGGGAAATCTTTCTAAATTATTAATTGATTTTCGCTTTCTCTTTATAGATTATTACTGCTACAGATTTTGGTGCATTATAGTAAATCGAATAAAGCTTAAACAAGGTATGTACGACTAAAACCCCCTCTTCTAATAAATCGAGCTCTCATGCTGTCCATGAAAATATTGTAAGTCCAAAATTTGATTGACCTAGTACTTGTTATTTCAAAGGAATTGGTGTTTCAAGGTATATATGAAAGGTGTATCTCAATGTGTTCAATATGTTATTCTTGGTATATTGAGGATAAGTGAAGAGTGTGAACTATGTGCTAAAATGCGTAGATTTCAAGTAAAATTTAAATTGAGATTGTTATGCCAAACTATGTGAAATCCTCTATGTATAAAGATGTTTGAAATAAATCAAATGAATTTGGAAAATAGAGTGTGGCCAACGCGCCGAGAACTTGAATTATAATTGTGCCTGGTGATGCATATGACATAAGAAAATATGAAACAGATTATGAAATGAGCCTTGACTCTACTTTCCATAAATGACTTCAATAGTAAAGTGCCCTAAAGGCTTTGTACACAAATTATGCCCATAAGTGGCTGCTCGAGATAATGTTTTGCCTTATAAGTACATCTAATATGATCTGAGTTGTTACATACTTTGATGTTGAGATTGTATAGTGTCGTGATTGGAAAAGAGTAATTCAAGAATAATTGGTGTAATTGCTTGTTTATGCTTTTGATGTGTGTTTTTATTGTGGTTTGGTGTGCCCCCTCCTTCTTGGAAGAATCCTTTGTGTTTAAATTTCCATTGCTAATGAACTTGAGGTGTATGATTTCTGAAATATTGTATATGCCCATGATTCATGACTCCTCTCATGTGTACTTGACATCTTGGATTGAATGGCTTGTTGTTGAAATTTATATTGATGTGAAATGTGGGGGAAAAGAGCTCAAATTATGAAATGTGGTCTAGTGCCAAGTATGATGTGATAATTGTGGCCTCAACTGCCGATGAACTAATAGATGTGAAACCAAAAATTGAAGTGAGATTATTAATGGAAAAAGGTAACATCTTGGTAAGATGGCTTAGTCGATCGGTCCGTGATCGGACCCCATGCTACACACATGGTGGTATTGTGATTGATATTGAATTTGGAATGTTAGAATGAAATTGTGATTGAGGTATAATTCTCAAATGAGATGGCATAGCCGATCGGGCCGAGATCGGACTCTGCACAATAAGGCAGTGGTACTATGAATGGTGGTGCAATAGTAAGAAGTGTCCCAACCTAAAGCTATGGAAATTATGTGAAAGCTATGTGATTCCTTTTATTTGATGATGTGGTGATTGTTTTAAGCTTTTGTTGAATCTTTATGATTTCTTTGTTCTTGTATGATAGCTCTTTCTATTGAGATGGTATTTATGATTTCTTTGTTCTCGTATGATAGTTCTTTCAATTCAGATAGTGTTTATGATTTCTTTGTTGTTGTATGATATTTCTTTCTAATGAGATGATGTTTAGTTATACATAGTAGTGTTATTCGAATGCACTAACTTCCCTTTTGCCGGGGGCGTTACATCTTTGAATGGATGTAAGTGGTTCCATAGCAGGCAGTGTTGGTCGCAACTAGTGGTGCATCCACTTTTTAGCCGACTTGGTGAGCCACACTTCATTTCGGGTTCCTAATCATCTGTTCATGTACTTGTATATTGAGGTATAGCCGGAGCCTTGTTGTCAGCATTTTCATATTTCTCTTCAGTTGTATTTAGAGGCTCCGTAGATAGGATGTGGGTGGTGTCGGGTATTGGAATTAAATTAGAAGTATTGGTATTTTGCAAATATGTTTTCCATCATCATAGCTATAAAAACTATAATATTTTGGACATTATGGTTGAAACTACTAATGGAAATAACATGGAAGTTTTTAATGAAATATTTACAAGTTATGATTAATTGAGTTCATCTCTTCTTTATTCATGAATTAGTTTGGGTAGAATGAAACCTAACAGGCTTGCTCAGTCGGGTTTACTCGGTTGAGCGCCGGTCGCACTCCTCAGTTTTCGGGCGTGACAGGAACAATGCCGATCACAAAAAAAAATTAGCCACATCAGCGAACCAAGGCATACTATTCAAATACACTGAGAGGAGTAGTTCATCCGGGAATGCATCATTAATTTCGAGACCATCTTTGGGTCTCCCATCCTCCTCCAAGCGGGACAAGTTGTCCGCCACTTGATTTTCACTTCCTTTTTGATCAACAATCTATAGGTCAAATTCTTGAAGCAACAAAAACCATCTCATCAATCTAGCTTTAGTGTCCTTTTTGGTCATCAAGTAATGGAGTGCTGCGTGATTAGTATGAACAATTACCTTAGCACCCATGAGATAAGGCCTAAACTTCTCCATTCCAAACACAATTTCTAGCAACTCTTTCTCCGTCACTGTATAATTGGCCTAGGCATAATTCATAGTTTTGCTTGCATAGTACACCGGATGAAACATCTTGTTCACCCTTCGCCCCAAGACCGCTCCTACCGCAACGTCACTAGCATCACACGTGAGCTTAAATGGCAAGATCCAATTGGGTGCAGTGATGATCGGAGTGGTAGACAATCTATACTTGAGAATATCATAAGCTTTCATGCACTCGTCATTAAACACAAACTTTGCATCCTTTTCCAACAATTTGCACAAGGGATTCACCACCTTGGAAAAGTCCTTGATGAACCTTAGGTAGAACCCCGTATGGCCAAGAAAGCTCCTCACTACTTTGACGGAAGTAGGAGGGAGTTTTAAAATCACTTTAATCTTCGCTTTGTCCACTCCGATACCATTCTTTGAGATTTTATGGCCGAGGATAATGCCCTCCTCGACCATAAAGTGGCACTTTTTCCAATTAAGCAATAGATTTGTCTCCTCACATCAGGCCAACACTTTGTCAAGATTACCCAAACATTCTTCAAAAGAGTCACCCACAACCCTAAAATCATCCATGAACACTTCTAAGAAGTATTCCACCATGTTAGTAAATATAGCCAACATACACTGCTAAAAGGTAGCCGGTGCATTACACAAACCAAATGGCATTCGGGAAAATGCAAAGGTACTACACTGACATGTTAGGGTGGTTTTCTCCTGGTCCTCTGGTGCAATCATAATCTAGTTGTAGCCTGAGTACCCATCCAAAAAGCAATAGCAGGAATGCCCAGCAAGTCTATCCAGCATTTAGTCGAGAAAGGGGAATAGAAAATGATATTTGCGAGTCACTTTATTCAGCTTCTGGTAGTCCATGCATACCCTCCATCCGGTGATAGTCCTAGTGGGGATCAACTCATTTTTCTCATTTGTGACCACAGTCATACTGCCATTTTTCGGCACACATTGTACCTGTGAAGTCCATTAACTATCCGAGATGGGGTACACAACCCCTGCATCTACCCATTTGATAACTTCCTTCTTGACGAACTCTTGCATAGCCTCATTCAACCTCCTTTGAAGTTCCACGGAGGGTTTGGCATCATCTACAAGTATAATCTTGTGCATGCAAAAGGCGGGGCTTATTCCCTAAATATCAGATAGAGTCCATCAAATTACCCTCTTCCTTCTTTAAAGCTACCTGCAAATTAATAAGGCACAAAGAAACAATGACAAGTAAAGTTGAACAAGGGCCCAAGAATTCATACTTGAAGTGTAGATGCGAAGGCTTCAACTCCAATATGCGAGGTTCCTCAATTGAGGGCTTTGTTGATGGAGTAAGATCCAAGGAAATATTACGGGGCTCATAGGAGTAAGAGCCCATTCCTTGCAGGGCATTGACATACTTTACCAACCCTTCATCCTAGGTCACATCATGGTTCAACAATACAGCTTCCAAAGGATCCTCCACATTGATCATGGCACTCGTGTCATCAACTATCACCTCCGTCACTAGATCCACAAAAGAACAAACCTCATTACTATTCGGCTGCCATATTTATTTGTACACGTGGAAGACAACGTTTTTGACACCCACCCAGAAGGTGAGCTCCCCTACTTCCACATCAACCAATGCCTTCCCTATTGAGAGGAAAGGCCTTCACAATATTAAAGGCACCTCAAAGTCAACTTCGCAGTCGAGAATCACAAAATCTACAAGCAAAATAAACTTCTCAACTCGACAAGAACATCATCAATAATACCAAATGACCTCTTTATTGTTCTGTCAGCTATTTGCAATCTCATTGAAGTAGCTCTCGGTTGACCAATACCCAAAGTTTTAAATACGGAGTAAGGCATCAAATTTATACTTGCTCCCAAATCACACAAGGCCTTTGTAAAATCCGCACTCCCAATGGTACATGGAATGGTAAATGCGCCCGGATCTTCAAGATTTGAAGCCATCGAGTGCACAATGGTACTCACTTGATGAGTCATTTTGATGGTCTCGCAATCCATAGATCTTTTTTTAGTTACCAAGTCTTTCATAAACTTGGCGTATCTCGATATTTGCTCAAGATCTTCCACCAAGGTTACATTGATCGTCAAACTTTTCATCATCTCAATAAAATTCTTGAACTGGTTTTTATTCTTCTTCTTTGCAAGTCTTTGAGGGCAAGGTGGAGGAGGCCTAGGCAAGGGAGCCCTGGCTTTAGGCATTACCATTTCTGGTATGTCTATCACGCGTTACCTAGATGGGTTCACATCATTTTGAGTCTCCTCCTCATTGTCATGAATATCAATTCTCACCTCATGGATGTACTTGCTTCCCCACCTCTACCACTCCTAGTGGTCACCACCATTGCATGGCCGGTATTGTTCCCACCCTTCGGGTTTACTACCGTGTCACTAGGTAGTTCCCCTTAGGGCGAGTGTTCAAAGCTTGTGAAATCTGTCCAAGTTGGACCTCTTGGTTGAGGATAGAAGTATTATGGGATTCTAATTGGGGATCGGAGTCGACGTTCTTCTTCATCATTCTCTCAAACATTGACTCAATCTGTCCCATCTCATTATTGGACAAGCTAGGACCTTGGGACGGAAATGGAGGTGGATTGTTTGGTTGTTGAAACATTGGAGGCCTTTGAAAACCTGGCCCCCGATTACCTTGATTGCCATTATTCCAACTTCTTTGGTTGTTGTTGCCACCCCAATTACTATTGTTACCCCAATTCTGGTTGTTGTTCCCCCATTTGTTAGAATTGTTGTTGTTATTGTTCCATTTTTCTTGGCCTTGGTTTCCCCAATTCTGATTATTCCCTTGCAATCTTCATTATTCATTTGGAGCATTACCCCATTGTCCTTGATAGTTGTTGGCAAACAAAACCTCTTCACTTTGCTCACAATACCCATCCTCCGGATTGTAACCACTACTACCTAGCTCATATTGATCTTGATTGCCTTACATTTGTTTCCCATGTTGTCTCCTCTTGTTTACCAATAGATTAACGCTTTCCATTGTGTTTACTTGCTTTGGTCCCTGAATCTGCTGAGGCTGTGCTTTGGCTAACTGGTTCATGGTTGTTGTCAACTCAGCTATGGCTTGTTTGTGGTCTTGAAGTTCCTTGTGAAGATTTATGACATGAGGGTCCCCTTGAGGAATATTTGCCCAACTTTACCAGGCTGAGCAAGTATCAACCATCTCATCAAGAATCTCACAGGCCTCAGCATAAGGCAGCTTCATAAAATTACCCCCTGCTAGCTGGTTTACCACACATTGATTGGTCGTGTTTATACCCCAATAAATGTTTATTGGATCGTTGGTTCAGTCATACCATCGTTGGGGCATTCCTTGACTATAGTTCTATATCTATCCCATATTTCATGAAGGGGTTCATTTGGTTCCTATTTAAACACTAAGATTTCATCCCTTAATGAAGCCATATGTCCCGATGAGAAAAACTTGACTATAAACTTGTCGGTCAATTCATCCCGCGTAGTGATAGAATGGTTGGGGAGTCATTCGAGCCAGTCCAAAGATTTCCCTCTAAGTGAAAAAGGGAACGATCTCAGTCCCAATGCATCCTCCGATACTTTTGTATGTTTGATACCCTAGCATGTATCCACAAAGCCCTTTAGATGTTTATATGCATTCTGATGGGGAGTGCCTGTGAAGTACCTGCTTTGCTCCAATAAGGTCAACATGACATTTCTAATATGGAAACTGCCTACCCAAATCCGAGGTGGGACCATTGCACTTACGTAGCCTTCATTTGGAAGCACTCGACGAGCTACTCGCGGAAGAGCTGGGGGAGGTTCTGGAATATTTTCATTGGCTTAGCGGCCTCTTCTTTGAGATTGAGGTACTAAAGGTACCTCATCTTCAGCGTTATCATCTACCTTCTCCCCCGGGAGAACATTTCCAATATGATCATTATTTGCCATTTTGTACCTGAATCGATTAACTCACACAAGTTAATAAAACAAAAGGAAAGAAAAAACAAGACACACAACTAGTCAGATAGATAGACACAACTGTTTAACTCCCCGACAACGATGCCAAAAAGTGATCGGTTCCAACCATACACCACTATATAATGGTAAGGAGTGGTCGATGCAGCTTTTAGCCGAACGGTCGGGATCGATTTTCATAGGGAGTTATTATTGATTGGGAGTTGGGTTTCTATCTAACCTATCTATGCGTGTTACTTATAATAGCACTTCTAACAATGTTTAGATTTGTTACTATTCTACTTTTAATGCTATTGATTGCTGAAAAAAACTATGTACAATGTTTTTGTAAAGTATTCTCAAGTGATAAAAAGCACTAGGGAAGTGACTTACACCTAGGTGAATATCTAATGAGATCTAAAATTTAGGACAATCTTGTTATATTTGGGGTCATGATATAACCTTTACACAAAATTACTCACTATATACCTCTCGGTAGTTTGAGTGACTTTGCACTAATTGACTTTCTCAAGCCCAATTGGGTGTTTATACAATACAAGTAAAATTTGCTCAAGTCGGGTATTACTATCTCTAGGTTTAACCCTTTAATTGGGGCTATCAATATCTTGAGTGCACCTCAATTCCTTGTTAGCCTAATTTTCCTAGCCTTAGTCCCTCGTTCTCAAGAACAGTCTAAGTCATAAAGGCATGAATCAGTGTTTGCAACTATCAATTGTACAACTAAAGCATGAATCAAGGTAAATATCACTAACCCATAAAGAATTAAGCCCTAAAATAGAAGACTCATTAAATACCCACACTAGGGTTGGGTCACAACCCTAGCTAATGGGTTTCGCTACTCATAATCAAGGTAAAAATCAAAGATGAAGATAAATTATAAGCCATAAAAGTTGATTACAAGAATAAAATCTAAGTATATAAGCTAAAGCTACTCTAAAATTACTCAAAGTACAGCTGTGCACGAGTTCCCTGATACAAAAGATACCCTAAAAATGTGAAAAAGATCTATTTATACACAGCTGAAGTTACTGGACAAAAAAATCCCTACAGAGGTTCCGCTGTCAGCGCAATACGGAGCGCCTCAGCGCTTGCACTTTTGCGGCCGCGCAAAAGCAGGTGCGGACCGCGGTTCTTCTGTTTTGTGCTTGTCTGGACTTGATTTTGCTGGGAGAGTAAAAGAGACCGCCTCATCGTTAGCATCAACCACGACCGCACAATTTGGACGCGGACCGCACTCCTCAGTTAGGCTCACTTTTCAAGGTCTCTGAACCTTGATAGACTCTCTCAGTGTAATTTGCACCATGGCTGGGTTAGGTATTCCGATGCCACGCTATTTCATCGCCGTCAGTGATCTCTATTGTACCAAAAAAATGCCTTCTCTGAACCTCAATTCTGCTGTCAACGTAACTGTTGCCGCTTTAGTGGTGGACCTTCTGCAACCGCTCTTTTCCTTTACGGTCAGCACTTTTATCCAGCTTTGAACTTGTGCAATTTTAACTCCTTCATGAGTTGGATATGGATTTCTTGCCTCATTTTGACCGAACCCTGCAATCAAGCACAATAAGTTCATTTTCGGGAATTCTTTTTACACATTTTTAATCCAAAACCTAAGCAAAAGAGAGCATAAGATAGGCTAGAATATATAGTTATTAGGTCGTGACATGACGTCTCCCAAAAGCAATTCCATGTGATAGTACCTCGCAAGACAAAAAAGTGCAGTAAAGTATAAAGTTTAAAAATGTAAATGTTATTCTCGAATGGTGTATGCCATGTAGCAATAAGACATTACAATGAAAACGCCAGCGTGGTAGCAACTCCGGTGGCCAGCCGTGTTGCCTACATTCACATTCTCATATTTTATGTTTCCTTTGGCTTTCGTCATTGCCTCATTATTACGACCCAATCTGGAGGGTCATTCGGGGTGTCATGGCCTCAAAATATTATTCTCATTGGCCTAGCACCAAAAGCGTAACATGACGTCAAAAATTGGCACGTCAAAGATTGGGTGAAATCAAAAAGCCATCACACCAACATCCTTAATCAAACCTTAGAATTAACACAACAAATAGCCGAACACAAGAACGTGGGATACCAAAACAATGACCAAAATCACTGTTTGCAAGGACACAACTAAGACACTAAACAAAGCAACTAACTACGCGTGAGGGACAAGGGACAATGAATATCAAATTATGTTTAACAATGTAACACAAAACAAAGAGAGCAGGCACAAAATACTGTAACACGATCGATGGTGAAACAGTGAGCCAGTTGAAAGTGATCTGAGCTGACACACCTCAAGCACTGTTGGGACCAATATCAGTATCTGCACAAGAAGTGTAGAAGTGTAGTATGAGTACAACTGACCCAATGTACTCTGTAAGTGTCAAGCCTAACCTCGACGAGGTAGCGACGAGGCTATGACAAGACACCTACGTAAATAAACATGTACAAGTGTATATAGTGCATCAAAATAACTAGAAGAATGATTAAATACTAATTGGGAGGGGACATGCGTATGGAAAAAATATCATAAAAAAGGCAAGTACGAAGTCATGAAATAATATCTTTCAAATTAATCAACAAAATAACCAAGTAACCAAACTGACAATCAAATAAATCAATGATACGAAAATGGAACGGCATTACCCTTTGTTTTTTTATTCTCGTCCTCACCTGAAACGACCCGGCAAGTCATTTTGAGTATTTTAGACTCGATCCTCTATTTATTGCCTCCTCTCTATTATATTATAATTATGCGATTTGTCGGAGGTTTTTGGGTTTGGTTTCGGGCGAGTTTCTGAGTGGAATGGGACATATAGTCCCTAAGTTGGAGCTTTTGTTGAAATAGTTGACCGTAGTTTGACTATTGCGTAGACGACTCAGAAATGAAGTTTTGATGGTTCCTATAGCATATTATGATGATTTTTGACTTATGAGCGTGTCTTGATGTTGATTTTGAGGCCCGTAGGTCATTTCGGCATGGAGTGACGAATGTTAGAAAGTTGGAGGTTTAGAAGGTTGAGATGATTGACCAGGAGTTGACTTTATTGATATCGGGGTTAGATTTTGATATTAAAATCTAGGATAGGTCTGTCATGTCAGTTATGACTTATGTGCAAAATGTGAAGCCAATTGGAGTTATTTCGGCATGAATCTACACTGGTTTCGGATTTCGAAAGTTTATAGTTTCATAGGCTTGAATTGGGGTTTTGTTTCGTAGAATCGATGTTCTTTGATGTAATTTTTTGTCCAGAATAGGTCCATTAGGTGTTTTGGAACTTTTTGATATATTCATACGGGGTCTCGAAAACGCCGGGTGCGATTCGGATTGAATTCAAAACTATATTGGACTTGGGCAATTACAGAACCACTGATGTTCTGGTGTCATCGCACCTGCATAGAATTTGGCCGCATGTACCATCACACAAAAGCGAGGAGTTGATCGTAAAAGAGAAGCTAGCCTTGCCCAACTGGGACCGCAGGTAGGGTCCATATTTCGGAGAAGCAGAAGCATAGGAGTGGAAGGGGAAACACAGGAGCGGAGTTAAGTTAGCTGGAGAAGGACCGCAGGTGCGGTCGAAACTTCATAGATGCGGGATCGCAGAAGCGTTAGCGCATGTGCGCTTTGGTGTCCGGAGATGCATATTCTTAGAGCTTAAGTCATGGTTGCACCTGCGATGGAATTTTCGCAGGTGCGGAGCCGCAGATGCGGCTGTTGGTTCGCAGGAGCGAATTACCTTGGCAGAAAAAGACCTAATCGAGGGTTTGATTTCATAATCCATGTTTTGACCTAGACAACTCGATTTGTGGCGATTTTCAGGAGATTTTCGAGGAAAACATTAGGATAAGAAATCATAACTAAGTTTTGGTTAAATTACACGAATATATTGTTAATTTCATTATTAATTCAATGGTTTGAGTTGGAAATTAGAGGAAAAATTGTGAAAACTTATTAGACAGTAATTTGGGGATTAGAAAGACGATTTGAGGTCAGATTTGAGTAATTTTTATATAGTTGGACTCGTTATCAAATGGGCATTCGGATGTAATTTTGGTCGGGTTCTGAGATGCGGGCCCGAGTTGACTTTTTCTTTCTATGCAAAGATAGTAATTTTATTGTTTGAAATAGTTTCCTATAGTTTATATTTATAGTATGAAGTTGTTTTGTCTAGATTCGAGCCTTTTGGAGTTGGATAATCGAGTGAAAGACCTACTAGTGGATTGAGCGAGCGTGTTTTGAGGTAAGTGTCTTGCCTAACTTTGTGTGGGGGAATTACCCCTTTGGGTTAGTGTTGTTTGTGATAACTGTGATGTGTGAAAGCCGTGTACACAAGGTGACGAGTGTATGCACGAGCTAAATATGGTAGCTACGTTGATTTCTTTCATGCCTTAATTGAATTATTATAATATGTTAAATTCATCATCATTAGTATACTTTCACATGCTCTACTTATCTTATTTCTTGCTTGTTAATTGCTCTACATGTTCAGTTGAAGTTCTTGTTTCCCATATTCTATATTCATTATATAACCATTTAATTCTTTACTTCAAATTGTTATTCTTAGAGTATCTTCTTGTTGAAAGAGGCAGTGAGTTATAAAGGCCATGATTCACATTGACGCAAAGTTTAATGTTATAAAATACTATTCTGTTGAGTTATTCACTTTTGGTTATTATTATTGAGACTCTTGTGTACATTGTGGTTGAGCCATGGGCTCTACACTATGAAAACATTGTTATTATTGATTCTTTGGCAAGTTGTGATATTGAGCACTTGAGGTGCGATTTGTGATACAATGTGGCATTGATACTCATGCGGAGGTAAAAGGTTTTGGGGTTGAAACGCATGCGGTAAGATAAGGTGGGTTGATACGCGTGGCTAGTAGGGGAAATACTAGAAGCCATGTGATATAATAAGGTTGGCTAAAACGTAGGATGTTATTTCGGAAAAATAATTTTCAAAACTAAATGCAAGGCTCCCGTGGTGATATAAGAAGATTGTGAATTATTCTTGTGATTTGAGACTATGAGGTGATGCCTCGGTAGACTTTTGTTGGTATTCCTCTATGGCTAAAATTTCTTTGGTAGTTTTGTTTCCTTAACATATCATTCCTTGTTTTCACCGTGTTGCATTATTTGCTTTAGTTCTGTGCAGCTAACCTTGATATGTTATTTGTTGTTTCAATCTCATTTCTATCATTACTACAGTACCATACACTTGTACAATTTTTCTTATTTAATCTAGTAAGGCCGTGACCTGACCTTGTCACAACTCTAATGTTGTTAGGCTTCGCAGTTACTAGGTACTGTTGTGGTGTACGCATGCTACTTTTCTACATATCGTTTTGTGAAGATCCAGGTACCTCCTTCTAGCCCAGGTAATAGCGAGAGCTCAGCTGAAGAGACTTCAAGGTAAACTATCGGCGTCCGTAGGCCTCAGAGTCCTCCTCTGCCTAGATTTCTTTATTTCAATATCCTTTTTATAGACATTGATGCATATGATTATTTAGTACTACTAATTAGAATGTATGACTTGTATTCGCCGAGTTTTCGGAGTTGTATATGCTGAGTTGCAGAGTTTATTTTATATAGTTGCTGAATTTGAAGACTTTAGTTATTATTTCACCTATTTCTGCATGAATGTTAGGCTTACCTAGTCTTAGAGACTAGTTTCCATCACGACACCCTATGTATGAAAATTGGTGTCGTGATAAATTGGTATCAGAGCTCTTGGTTTGTAGGTATTACGAGTCACAAGCAGTTTTAGTAGAGTCTCGCGAATCGGTACAGAGATACATGTGCTTATCTTCGGGAGGCTATGGAACTGTTGGGAAAAGCTTCACTTGTTTGATTCCTTATCGTGCGATTCTGTTGACTTCAAAATTCTAAAGATCTGTCTTTCTATTCTCTCGGAGATGGTGAGGACATGCACAGCTAGATTAGATGATCAGACACCTGCGCCCCTTGCTAGAGCCGCTAGAGGCCGTGATCGGGATATAGGCCGAGGATGGGCACGTGGTGCAGCTAGAGCATCCGACCGAGCTGCTACAAAGGATCCACCAGTAGCTCAGTTGGAGGGTAGACATCTGATCCACCAATTACTGACCCTGCACTTCAATAGACCCTCGCCTAATATTTGAGCATGTTTGGCACTCTAGCTTAGGTAGGGTTGATCTTACTTGATCCTGCCACATCTCAAACCGAGCGAGAAACACTGACTCCCACCACCCATACCCTAGAGTAGTGAGTCCAGGTTGACCGGGTCCTAGAGGTCATACCAGTGCATCCAGTCATTCTAATTCAACTCGAGGTTAGGTCAACAGCTTATAAGGAGGAGCAACTAAGGCTAGAGTGGTACAAGAAGTACCACCCACCTACTTTCAGCAGATTGGCTTCATAGGATGCCAAGGGTCTTCTTGAGGGTTTCCACCATATCCTCCAAACTATGGCTATTATGGAGTCGAGTGGTGTTGCTTTCAATACATTCTAGCTTATGGGAGTTGTTTATTAGTAATGGTAAATGTATGAGTTGGGTAGTCCGGTTGTAGCAGCTTCACTCACTTGGGCTCAGTTCTTAGATATGTTCATGAGGGAGTTTGTTCTCCAGAGCCTTCGTAATGCATGGCTTGCAGAGTTTGAGCAGCGTTAGGGTGCTATGACCGTATCAGAGTATGATATCAGGTTTAGCGAGTTGTTCCGACATGTACCAACTTTAGTCTCCACGGTCAGAGAGCGAGTGCATCGATTTATTGAGGGGCTCAACCACAATATTACATTCAGTATGCCTCGAGAGTTGTAGATTGACATCCCATACTAGCATGTAGTGGAGATTGCTAGGAGATTGAAGGGTATGTGGGTCTGGGAGAGAGATGAGAGGGAGTCCAAGAGGCCTCGAGATTCTTGCACATATTGTGGTGCCTATGCCTAGTTATTGTTCGTCATGGTAGAGGCTATGTGAGTTGTCATGTTCATTCATCACTTCCAGCATTATTCTGGCTAATCCCAGGCCTCAGGTTTCCCATTTTGCACTGCCATTGTCAAGTGCACCTCCTGCACGAGGTGCTTTCAGCGGTCAGTTGAGCCGTCCAGGCACGAGCCAATTCCAACAGCCACATCCTCCGGGAGCTTGTTTTGTGTATGGTGACACTCTTCATATGGTGAGGGACTTCCCCAAATTCGGGAGCGGTGCATCTCTACACACTACTTAGGACCCACGTATTCCACAGGGCCCTAAAACTTCTAGGGTTGGGTTTATGGCACCAGTTGCCACTCCACCTGCGCAGCCAGCTAGAGGTGGAGGCCGGATTGGTAGAGATCGCCCTAGAGGGAGAGGCCACGCCAGATGTTATGATCTTCCTACTAGGATGGAGGTGATTGCATCCGACTCAGTTATCACATGTATTGTTCTGGTTTGTTATAGACATGCATCAGTCTAATTTGTTCCAGGCTCTATTTATTCCTTTGAATCATCTACTTTGATCCATATTTTGGTATATTAGTTGGTTTTTTGAGTTATCATGTTTATGTGTCCACGCCTGTGGGAGATTATATAATTGTTCACCGTATGTATTGGTCATGTTTAGTTGTTCTAGGTGGTTTTGAGACCAGAGCCAACCTATTGTTGCTTACTATGGTAGATTTTGATGTTATTTCTGGCATGGACTGGTTGCTGCCATATCATGTTGTTCTTGATTGTCACGCCAAGATGGTGACGTTGTCTATGCCAAGTTTGCCATTGTTGGAGTGGAGGGGTATCTTGGATTATGTTCCTATAAAGGTGGTTCCTACCTTTAGGCACAACAGATGGTTGGGGAGGGGTATGAGTCATATCTATCCTTCGTGATAGATGTCGGTGTTAATACTCCCACCATTGAGTTAGTTCCAGTGGTGACTCAATGGTGGATCTTCCGGGCATGCCGCCTAATAGGGATATTGATTCTGGTATTGATTTTTTACCGAGAACTCAGCCCATTTCTATTCCACCATATCGTATGGCCCCAACAGAATTGAAGGAGTTAACGAAGCAGTTGCAAGAGATGCTTGATAAGGGCTTCATTCGGCCTAGTGTGTCACCTTAGGGTGCTCCAGTCTTGTTTATAAAGAAGAAGGATGGTTCTATGGGCATGTGCATTGATTTTCGACAGTTAAACAAGGTTACAGTGAAGAATAGATATCCATTGCCACATATTGATGACCTATTTGATCAGTTACAGGATGCTAGAGTCTTCTCAAAGATTGATTTGTGTTCAGGATATCATGAGTTGATGATTCGGGAGCCGGATATTCCGAAGACTTCCTATAGAACTCGGTATGGTTATTACGAGCTGCTTGTGATGTCATTGGGCTGACCAATTCCCCAACATCATTCATGCACTTTATTAATACTGTATTCCCGCCTTATCTTGGCTCACTAGTTATTGTATTTAGTGATGACATCTTGCTGTACTCTCGAAGCCGTGAGGATCATGAGCAACACTTGAAGACCGTGCTCCT